TAATTGAGAAGTATTTTGTAAACAAATGACGTAAATTTGTAACAATCTAAACAGTGTCAAAACCGCAACAATACAAAGTGAGGAAAGTTAAATTCGAAATTCTTGTCAATTTATGAGTGATGTCCAGTGTAAATGTTTAAATTCTGGATGTGAAGTGTTGCCCCAAAGAACATGGAACTCATCTGGCTGGATGAAGAAGTTTCCGACACTTGAAAACTGACATTTTCAGTTGAATTGTTTTGTGGATTTTGTGCACTCAAAGGGGTAGGCCTTGGATCAACCGAAGTGCTGCTTAAAATGTGTGAGTATTTCTTTTGTTGATTTTCGGTTATAGAGCTATAGTTCAAGACAGATTGAACATTTTTATGCCCACTTATTTGCATTATATCGGTCGGTGGGACATTTTCATTGCGGAGCTTTTGAATGAGATGTTTTCTTGCGCTGTGGTTGGTCAATTTTTTCCCTGTGAAATTGGCTTTTATAGCCATCTCTTTCATGAAGGACGCAAGCTTTTTCTCCCCAACTTTTTGTTTTAAGAACCATTTGTCACTTCTGGGGTCGTCTAGAGAAATGGTACGTTTTGATAGATAGAAGGGGTCGTCATCTGTAGAAAATCCTGGGGGTCTTTTATCCGAATAAAGTTTGTAAGATAGAACGGGATCTCTTGTGTCCCCGGAGGAAAACATTTTGGGCTTCACCTGGCGTATGTCGACAATATTGTCGCCTGTTCGAGTTTTTGTTTGTCGTTCATTATACTCTAAGTATTCTGTCCCATCTGATGATACTTTAAGTTGAATATCCCCCCAGCGTAAATTATAGTGCTCGGTCACTCCTCGTAGTCCAAAATGAACAGAGTTGTTGAACCAGAGGGTATTCAAGAGGGACTCGGGGGTTTCATTTCCTAGGATTTTCTTTTCATACAATATGTTAATTTCTTCGTCTGAAATCGCCTCAGCTTTGCTTGGTTTATTGCCTTTGCCTTGTTTTTTCAGATTTTTTTGTTTTGCTTTTAATGCGTCGCAAGTCAAACGAAAAGAATCGTCTTGAATGTCCATAATTTTATGTCCATATTTTTGTCGTCCTAGTTTTCTGTCCAAACTACTTATGATAGATCTGAGGGAACTTGGTTCGTACTCTTGACCGTCAATTTTTCTTACTGATAACACAAACATTGCTAAAAGCTGGTCCAATTCGTCACAAGGAATTTCATGCAAATCGCGGTTTTCATTTTTCATTTTCAGGAATTTTCTAACAAGATTCACATCTTTTAGAGTTTTCTTAATTGTGTTTGAGTTTTCTTGATTTGTAATGAAAGTTTCAACATCGTTAAATTTCAAATCAATAAATTGTGGGTCATTGTTGACCTGGACTTCAGCTTCGACGATAGGCCTAGGTCTTTCAGATTGAGATTCTGAAATTTCTGCAGACGGGGTTTGTTCCAATTCACTCATAATATCTAATAAATTTTCATCAAAAGCAACATCAAGAATGGGAATTAATTCAGGAGGTACAGGAGGGGGCAAACCTTCCTCATGCGTGTCGCTTGAAGTGATTTGATCCACCTCTTCAGTATTGTTTACATCAAAATGGAGGTCAAAGGCGTCAGCGTCCATTTTGTTGCTAAGTAAACAAAGTAGTCCGGCGTCGAAAGACAGCACGAGGCTTTATTAGGGCAGTGACCGAATAAAGCTTTGGTTTATTAGGTTACCTTTATTAGGTCACTACAAGGGGTAGTTGCAGGATAAAGAGAAATTTTTGGACAGGGCGGACCTTAAAACTCAGTTATCAGAAAAGGTCCGCCCTTTATATTTCATATTCTTTATGTCATAAAGAGAAATTTTTGGACAGGGTTTATTTTCGTAGCTTAAAAACACGAGAAAGGGACAGGGCGGACCTTAAAACTCATTAATCAGAAAAAGGTCCGCCCTTTATATTTCATGTTCTTTATGTCATAAAGAGAAATTTTTGGACAGGGTTTATTTTCGTATCTTAAAAAACTAGAGAAAGAAATAGGGCGGACTTAAAACTCAGTTATCAGAAAAGGTCCACCCTCTGTATTTCAGATATCTTTATGTTTCAAAGGGAAACTTTTGGACAGAGTTTATTTTCGTAGCTTAAAAACACGAGAAAGGGACAGGGCGGACCTTAAAACGCAGTTATCATAAAAGGTCCGCCCTTTATATTTCAGCTATCTTTACGTTTTAAAGGGAAATTTTGGACAGAGTTTATTTTCGGAGCTTAAAGATACGAGAAAGGGACAGGGCGGACCTTAAAACGCAGTTATCAGAAAAGGTCCGCCCTATATATTTCATATTCTTTATGTCCTAGAGAGAAATTTTGGACAGTTTATCTGTATAAGGGCGGACCTTAAAACGCAGTTCTCAGAAAAGGTCTGCCCTCTGTATTTCAGATATCTTTACGTTTTAAAGGGAAATTTTGGACAGAGTTTATTTACGGATCTTCATGTCATAAAGAGAAAGATTAGGACAGGGTTTATTTTCGTACCTTAAAAAACTACTAACTGAAAGAAATAGGGCGGACTTTAAAACTCAGTTATCAGAAAAGGTCCGCTCTCTGTACTTCAGATATTTTTATGTTTTATAGGGAAATTTTTGGACAAGGTTTATTTTCGTACCTTAAAAACTAGAGAAAGAGACAGGGCGGACCTTAAAACGCAGTTATTAGAAAAGGTCCGCCCTCTATATTTCAGATATCGATATGTTTTAAAGGGAAATTTTTGGACATGGTTATTTTTGTAGCTTAAAAACTAGAGAAAGGGACAGGGCGGACCTTAAGACGCAGTTATCAGAAAAGGTCCGCCCTTTGTAATTCAGGTATATCTTATTACACAGCAAAAATTATGGACGGGGCACATCTCTCTCATTAACAATAGAGAATGCCGACAGACAACGGACAAATTTTGATGAGAAAAGCGCACTTAAGCCTTCGGCTGAGGTGAGCTAAAAAGTAGCAGGGGGACCTTAATACGCATCAGAAGAAAGGATCAGCCTTTTGTTTTGAAAAAAAAATAGACAATTGCTAACTTAATTTCAAACTAATGTCTACTGATAAAAATGGAAAACATAAGAAAATACATCGACAAAAAAGACTGATTTATTGATTAAATGCTGCTTAACGTCGCTCTCGAGAATTTTTCACTCATATAGAGACGCCACCACTTGCCGCCAGTGAGCTACAGATTTTGTCCTTTACTCGGCACTTACGGCCATTGAGTAGGGAGGGATCTTTTTCGTGCCAGCACCTACTGCGACACGGGACCTCGGTTTATACGTTTTCATCCGAAGGACCGAATTCCACGTCCCCAAAAGGGATTCGAACATGCGACGTAAGGATCAACTCCTTACTTCGACGCTCATAAATAATATAATACGTATATACAATACCCTGTTAAAAATCTATTTCCATCTATGTTATATATGTTAACCTTAAAGTGCCAAAATATGCGAAGAAAAAAAATGTCGGAAATGAAAATAAAATTGTCGGATTCCGAAATAATAGCAAAAATTGTCGGAAAATGCAATGCAAAATTCAGGAAATGAAATGCAGAGATCTAGTAGATATAATTATTAGCCTTTGAATAGGTAAGAAACAGTGTTAACTTATAAAAACACAGGGGATATGTTACTTTAGGTTTTCTTAAACGAGACAATTATAGACTAACCCCCAACTACCCAATCCGCTGGCATGTTGTTTTTACAATAACGGGTGTAGGGTAGTACACCGTGACATAAGCCCCTGTCACAGTGACCCTCCAACTTATTGACAACAATATTAAACGTAAAGAATGACAGATTTTTTTTTATTAATACTATAAAGAAATATATTTTGAATTATGTGATTTTTTTTTTTTGCGAGTGGAAATCGGACGTTTATCATGTACTTATTGGAAAGAGAGTGTAACTAAATGATTCGTGTTGGACTTACGAACATTCATCTGTTCATTGCATAATGATTAATCTGCCAGTAAACAGGCGGTGAAGGTAAATGTATGTTCATTTGTATTCTTAATATTTTCTAAAATGATAATGTTGATACCAGTGTATTTAAACGACAAAATAAGCATGTCCCATCTTCCCGACAGGAAACTCGATCAATAAATCTGTACATTTCTTTAATAAATAAATTATTTATGTATTAATTTCTTACTTATTGTTCACTACATTCTCTTGGAGGAAACACTAGCTATTAATACAACTTTACATCCTCAATTAATTCTAACACAATAGTTTTTCAATTAATATCGAATGAACACAGGTATACAATTTGTATAATAGGCCGAGGGCGGACCTTTTCTTATAGAGCCAGGCGGACCTAATATGTTATCGTATTTGGTCCGGCCGGACCTTTAAACGAGGCGGACCAAATATTATGCGACACCGGTCGGCAAGAGATATTCACTCATGGCACCTGATCCCACCTCTGATGTTCTGGAGGTCCGTGTTGCTCTGCTCCTATTTTGATTTGTTTTATGGACCTTTGATCAAGAATACTGTTCGTTATATCATATTTTTCATTTGATTCTGACAAGGTCTGTCAATAATTTGTAGAAGGTGCAAAATGTTCTTTTTTCATCCGACTTGTTTTTTTTTTAATAAACATTATCTATTTTTTTTATAAACATAATCTATTTTTTTAAATCCAAAAATTGAGATCATTGGAACATTTTGATCACACACACACACACTGTAGAAGTTATTTGAAAAAAGATGCTTCAATTCCCGATTGACAGTATCTGTGTTTGTTTTTAGAGACCAGGTCTTCCAACAATCCGTCGGAATTGCCAGAATACCTATTGCACCCCTTTATTAGTGGACCAATTTTTGTATTCGTACGAAACAAAGTTATTTCAAATCTTCTACATTTGCAAATGATTGTTGTAAGGATTAAAATGAAAACAGTAAAAGTACAACCAACACCATTTTTTATTTACTCTTGCAAATCTTGAGTTTAAAACTGATATTGCGTATCTGATAAATAATTCTAACCATTGAGAAGGAGTGCATTGTAATTCATATCTGAAACCACCTTACCCAACTTTCAGGGATAAAGGTACTCAAAACATTGTTTGTTGGCATATCTTTATCGATTTTCTATGATTTGTCTTTTAATTTTACAGTGTATTTTCAAATAATACAAATACATGTACATATAACATTAAAGTTTTCAAAAGAGATAATTTTTGTCACATGGATTTAGAAATGTTTTGAATTTTTCAAAAAGATATTTTGACATCTTGGACATTTTTTTTCACTTTTTTCCTAATATGGGATTCGATCTAGTAAAAGAAATGATTAGCCATTCGAACTCCCAGCTCTCACTTCGAAAGGGCAAGTTACGCTAAGCTAGACTTAACCTTTATTATTCATCACAAGTATAGATCCTCCAACATATGAAAGATGTCAAACGGAAATAATATAACTTTTATTGATATTTTAGAATAATAATTTTTAGAAAGAGCAAAATAAAAATTTGTCATTTTAAAAATTTGAATTTACCAAGTGGCAGTACCGGTAAATTCAAAATTTACAATACGACAAATGATGATTTGAAGTGACATTTTGTTTTCAAAGCCAAGGAAATGAGTACTTTATTTACCTATTTTTACAAGATTATTCAAATGTATGCCATAATATAGGTATTATAAAGCTTAGCATAACGCCCTCGGGTTTGATAACTGGACTCAGCAATCTTAGCATATTATGTTTAAAGCCTACGGAGAACATGACATTCTGGACTGACGCCCGTAGGCTTTACATTGACAGTTTTTGTACTCTTTTCCTCGAATCATAGCCGGAAATCCGCGCTCCCCTTGCTGCCTGCAGTTGTCATTTTTATCTTTACATACTGGAAAAGAACAAGAAATGTCAAAGTTACCTTTCTATCAGATTGTTATAAAAACCGATCATTTGTGTTTTTGAATTAATTCCTCACAATATAGTATGCATCCATTAGTTTCTTCTTTTAGTCATTAATAATGTACATTGATAACTAGTAAAGACGCTTATTTTTTTCTTAATGTTCAATGGTTATCATAGTCTGACACAAACTTACGTATTTTAAGTGAAGATGTTCTATAAATCCCGCCTGTGTATTCACACTTTAGACGGAGACAGATTTTGTGAGGCTGATATAAGTGGTCCCACTCTTCACCGACATCTCGGCAGTTACCATCTAGATCTTTACACGCTGTAATGATGCATATACACTGGATCTTTTTTTTCCACTTTAAGGAAAGTTTTAGGCTTTAATTTGCATGATTTGCACGAAGTAAAAAAGGTTTTGCAGAAACGTTATGACTATTATGAATAATTTTATACATGAAGATTTACATGTATATAAATCATATTGACTGCTTCATTATCATTAAAGCCAAGGGCATGTTTCATAACGTAGAACGGTGTCTTGAACAAATATTTGAACATATAGAAGTGTTTTTTAGCTAAAGTATGTTTACTCCTGTAACGAAAAGAAACATGGTGTCTCACCTCCTTTAAGCAGGTTGTAAACAGGGCGATCTGATTTTTTGTCCAAAACGCAACCATAATTTAAACATTTGTTTCTCATCTCTTTGAACCCAACCTCCAAACACTTGCCATTTACATTACAGCCTGAAAGAGACAAAAGACATAGCGAAACACATTTAAATGTAAAATATCTTTTGGTTGAGTTGATTTATACAAGGACATGTTGAAAAGTTTAAGATACACGTCTTTCATTTTGGCAACAAAATATTTGAGAAATGGATCCGGAGTTCATCAAAAATGGAAACTTAAATTAAAAATCCAGAACACTTTTAATATTCCTCAACTTCTTTTCAAATCAATATCAAATAAACGGTCAACTTCATTCAACCATTTACTTTGATAGAATAAAGAGCTGATTTTTTTATATCAACAACTGCTTCTTCAACAAAAAAAATAATTTTAAAATCTTTGTTTCCATGGTGTTCCTAATTGACAGTATCTGAATGTAGTCTTCTAGTATGTTGCTCTGGAATTCCAACGCTCCCTTGAACTCTCATTGGAGCAAAGTGTACAGCCTTTTAAAAGCCGAAGTTTTATTTTTATGATTTTTTTTTCAACAATCAGTATGAAAAAAGTCGGCATTTGACTTAATACCGTAATAAATTGTATTTGCTGAGAAGTTCATAGTATCGAACAAAGAACTAACGGATTGATTAATAAACGAAGCTCACGTGAAATGGATATCAACAAATGCAACTTGATTTAAGATATTACTTAATATTTTGATCTGAAAATGCTTTGTTTTAGATCTGTTAACCATATTACAACTTGACTCATATTGACAATGTAATGCAAATGTGTAAAGTATACCTTGAGTAAACATTATGGTTATACCTCTTAATTTCGCCGTCACGGATCGGGAGAAGCCCTTGTTTGATCTATTAACAACACATTGTCTCTCCAGACAGCCCGAGTCCCATTTTTCTCCAGGACTGTAGCAAATTCCGCCTACTTTACATCCTAAAGGTAAGATGCATGGACAAAAACCCCATGTCAAAAATCATTTTAGTTGGATTATTAGATTAAAAAAAAGGAAAAAAAACTTTTTAAAATAAAAATGTTCTTATCATGCAAATGCTTTAAGTGAAAAGTTAAGAAAAAAGTTGCGAAGAATTTTACCGACGCCTATAATTTGAATTTGAGGGTATGTTCGGCCATTTTGGATTTTTAAGCGGCAACCGTAAGTAATGCAATTTTCCGGACTTGTCCAGTTTCCTCCGTCTTCTCTACATTTATCTTTATCCAAACATCCTGAAATAATTGAATTTACCTAATTATTCTCAACTGAAAAAAAAGCTCAAAACTTTGTTTTGATAGAATGTTTCGATTGAAAAAAAAAAGGTTAACGTTCATCATAACTCTTACAATCACTGATCATAACAAAGAGTGTTTTAACATTGAAACTCCTCCACATGGATCAGAGAGGTTTTGGTATTACTGACCCTGTGAAAAAACCTAAACATTCTTATTGAATCAAAAGTACATTTTAAGGAGGGACATGGTGTATGCTTTTAACAATATTTCAAAATCAAGTTATTTTACTACTTTGAATGATCACATGAAAACAAAAATTGCAAAACAACAATGAACAATATACATGTATGTTTCAAAGGAATTTAGGGTGAAATTACTTTTACCCTTATCTAAGAACATTCATTCAGTATGTGCAAATCTGTGTCTATATTTGCTTCCCATACCTGTAGCAACATTTTCCAGCCGCGACATACCATTCTTAGACACACACTTCAATTTGTTACAATTTTGACCCTCACCATAGCTCCCTACCGCAATGCAATTTCCTTGAGGATCCCTGCAATCTAGAACGTTTATTTCATTATGCAATTGTATCAGAAAAAAATATTCATAAACAATAAAAAAAATGGAGAAAGGACAAAAGTTTAGCGAAATAATTTTTTGGGGGTGTCTGTAAGTGAGTATTAGAAAGAGAATAGTGTTTTGCATAATGAGAAACTTCATATTTGTTTTCTCATCACGATTTTGATCCATTGTGAAAGTTTCAATACCTTGACTGTAAACAGCCATCTCCGAGCGCCTGTATTGTCCCTTCTGAGATACACGACAGATATAGTGGGTACAGTGATATTGTCGTATCTCACTCTCATTCACACAGCTGTCTCTCCACTTACATCCTGCAAAACCATCACATTGTTCTATAACGTATAAACATAGAGCGTCTTCTGAGGTCTGTTAAATAATATTGCAAGGTAGAATGAAACATATGGAGATAACGAACAGTATTCAAGATCAAAAGTCCATAAAACAATATAAAATTCATGTAGGAGCAGAGCAAAACGGACTTCCAAAACATCAGAGATGGGATCAGTGCCATGGAGGAGTGAGCATCCCCTGCTGACCGGTCACACCCGCTGTGTGCTCCTTGTCATGATCGGGAAATAACGAGAAAATTCGTCGTCAATTCAGTGTATAAATAATGGACTAACAATAAGTATGAAACACGTCAGTCAGCATTTGACTCAATGATAAATTGTATTTGTTGACAAGGTCATTGTTTCGACTATAGAACTTACGAAATGATGACTTTAAATGAGACTCCTGAAATTCTTGTTTCATCAACTTGTTTGTCAATAATTTACCTCGTTTAAGAAATTGTTCATACGTAGAGCATGCTCTTGCGTATCGAATCAAGTGAGAGATATAAACTTCGTATGCAGGAGATGAAGGTATATTGCTGCACAAGTAAGGAAAATTGACGATTTTAAAGTTAACATCATCACGTTTATTCTAGAGCTTGGTTGTTAGATTATCATTAACGTCTTTTCCAAGTAAATGTCCAAGTATTAAACAGATGTGTCAAACTCTATCCTTTATCTCAAGCTTACCGGGATATATCGTATCGACATAAGAATGGAAGTTACCATTGTTAATTGACAACACGTCGTCAATATATCTAAATGTCGAGTTAGAGGCCATGGTAAGTGTTTTTTATTTAACGTATTAGATTTTGGACAAATTCTGCTTCATATAAATACAAAAATAGGTCTGCTAATAACGGGACTCAATTGGTACCCATGGGAATAGATTGTTGGGAGACCTGGTCTCCAAAAACTACAAAGATATTGTTAATCAGAAACTCAAGCATCTTTTTGATGTCAACTTCAGAGTACGTGTGTGTACAATCAGAATGTACTTTAACAAAATAATTTTGCAAATGACCAGTGACAAGGTAAGTAAATTTACGATTTTAGCATCTTTGGTAAGAGTTCTTTTCCAGTCGATTATGTTGCAGAATGAAGTTTATTTGTTATTCTGTATGAAGTTGTCCCTTAGTTTGCTTGTATGGCAAAGAATGATCACAAGTCTTTCATGTATATCATAAGACATAAATCATATTTAAAAGTTAAATACTTGCAAATAATATGGGTGAAGTGCAATGGTAACAAGGTGAAGTGCAATGGTAACAAGGAGGTCTTCATTGATTTATGAACGGAATTCTTCATAAATTGAGGACGTTTGATTTGAGGCGGGGAAAAGAAGAGGAACAGAGAATACAGCATTTGAATAATAATAGAAAAAATTAAACAAGATTTAAAAATATATGTTTCAATTCAACGTTTAAATATATTATATGGAGTGAAAAAACACAAGAAAACAGAACAAGGTAAGAATTACCAAACTTTACAATATCACTTCCTGAGCTATGGACATCTCCGTTTTTTCTCCAATAACACCGCTTGACAGAACATCCATCTCTGTATGTAGAGTTGACAGGTACACACAATCCGTTCACCCTGCAGTCTGAAAAGAGACGTTACTGGTCAGGTTCACAAAAACTGATATGTATGTAAGAGAGAGAGAGAGAGAGAGAGAGAGAGAGAGAGAGAGAGAGAGAGAGAGAGAGAGAGAGAGAGAGAGAGAGAGAGAGAGAGAGAGAGAGTTACCGGCATGTATGACATCCATCATGACTGTGTTTCGGCCCCTGTCAACTTTACATTGTCTCTTTACACATTTTGCGTTCATTATCTCCCCTTCCTTGTAACATTTCCCATTCAACTTGCAAGCTGTAGAAGTTTTTGTACTTGTAATAAGAGGTAAGTTTAATGATAGATAAATTAATCGAAGACAGCTTTTCGTTTTATATTTAACGCTGCAATTATTTGGTAATCAGAAATAAATTAATAACAAATACCGTATGTCTTTATTTTCGACCTTATTTTCGCACTTCCTTTCTGGTCAGCCTCCATACTGCATTTCATCACGTGACAATATTTGCTAGTCCACGTGCTGTTCGCGTCATGACATTCTCCTCCTTCATTACACCCTAAAAGAATAATTTTTTGGATTAAATGATCGCTTTTATTCCTTTCAAATTTTATCAAAATTGTCCACGGGAAGTAAAACATAAAGTCATTCTAATTTCAAGAGAAATCTTATACATCGCGTGTGATCGGTCGGCAGAGGATGCTCACTTCTCAATGTCACCTGATCCCACCATTTTTATAGAGGTCTAAGTTTACTCTGCTCCTGATTTGTATTGTTTTAATGGTTTTATGAGCTTGAATAATGTGAGTTATCTCGATATTTCATAAACAATTAAAGTAAAAGTCAGGTAAAATACATAACTGAAAATACATATGTCAGTAGGTGTGAATTTTCTAATAATTGTATAATAGTACCTCCTCTGTAGAAATCTAGACCACAGTTTGATGAATGTCTCTCACAACGGTATGTTATACAGTTCAGCGTCTTCGTTGTGTTGATAGCTAAACATCCACCCATACCGTCACTGCAACCTGTACAATATAATTAAGCACGTATTGACTAGTTCTTGTCTAATGTCGTTCTAACAAATATTTTTTTTACTTATTACCAATTTGCATCTTCCCATCAGTGACTTGCTGATTTGCATACCGTTTGATATGAAAATACATCAACGTAATTTATTCTCATTGTAACATAAGAAAAGATATGTTTTGAACCCATTGGCCAGTTAACAGCTTGGAATATTCACCTCATTTGATCTTTATAATATGTCTTGTAGGAAATATATTTCGTCGTTTTACACGAATACATTCTAACGAAAAATAGTAATTATTGCAAATAATTTCATTTATGTGACATGTTCTTGTTTTATCATGTTATTATATAACAGTGTCTGTATTGTACATAGCTTTATACTAAGCAGCTATTCGGTTCATTTATTGAACTAATTTAACCCCTTTTCCTACATCTGAATATGGGTTCAACCAATCAGCAAAGCTCTTATCCATCACGTGATCATTATTGATCCGTTTACCAAAAGAGAAAGCATGGTTTATTGAACTGCTGAATTTTTCGAACCCACCATCCACCCCATCTGCCACCAATGCTTGTTATTTCTTTCAGGTTGACATTTTTGTCGCTATGTTTTACCCATCTTTTTTGATAGTGTTTGAATGGGTTTAAAAGAGATTTATAGTACTTATTTTCTACCGCACGTTCTAACTGAACAAGTAAACTTTTTGTACATTGTAATAAATGGCAAATCCATGTATTAGGTTACTGAGAATGAGTCCGACATTTATTTTGTGTACCTCGCAAATTTACCTCGCTCTGCATTTTTCCATATGATTTTTCAACATAAAGCAGTGTTGCTTCTTATATATGGTTTTTCCTCGGCGGTGAAAGAAACATAGTTGTGTTCAATTTAATGCCTGCGCGATTGTATTGTTATTGGCTGTTTGTTATTTTGTTTTCCCACCTTTTTTGATGACAGGCAGCAGTTTAGAGCATTTTGTATATGTCTTCCAAACTTATGATGTTTATAAGGGGGTCAACTTAAAATGCATGTATATTGTACCTTGTGAAAGATTACAGGGTTTGAATTATTATTCTAGTCTGGTTGACCCCCCTTTTGCCTATGTACATCATGTTACAATGTCATTATGGTGCTGGGGGTCAGATTGTGTAATATTTTGACTAAGATGTGTAATACTCTATATTTGAGTCCTCCTTTTTCTGACCCCCATTTTGTTAACTGTGTTTTACTTTTCCGTCATTTACTTTAATAAATGACATATTTCACTTCAGCATGATGTTATTTGTTTTTGCCTGTTTATCAAAAAACAAGCTCAGTCGTTTGGCAGGAGAACTAAGGAACATAAAGAAAGCTTAGGATAAGAGATAGTTATATAGGTACAAAACCTTACTTTATGATGTATAACACACATACAGATAGTTATGTTCCCCAAACGAAGTTGGGGAACATATTGTTTTTACTCTGTTTCTTATTATGTTCCCCAAACGAAGTTGGGGAACATATTGTTTTTACTCTGTTTCTTATTATTATGTTCCCCAAACGAAGTTGGGGAACATATTGTTTTTACTCTGTTTCTTATTATTATTATTATTAAGGTCTTCCGTCTCCAACGGAAGACCTTATAGTGATTGTACTGTTTCTTATTAAGGTCTTCCGTCTTCACGGAAGACCTTATAGTGATTCTATTGTTTCTTATTAAGGTCTTCCGTCTTCACGGAAGACCTTATAGTGATTCTATTGTTTCTTATTAAGGTCTTCCGTCTTCACGGAAGACCTTATAGTGATTCTACTGTTTCTTATTATTCTTATTATTATTATTCTTTTTTTTGACAAAATTTTGTGCAGGCGATTTCTCGAAAACTATTCAGCGGTTTTTCATGAAACTTTCACAAAATATGTGTTATTATATGAAGTTGTTACATCCGAAGAGAAATTTGGAAAATTCGCTTCTGGTGCCAAGTTATGGACAATTTCCTGATTTTAAAATGCGATTTTGTCGCCCCTTTTTATCGAAAATGGCTAAGAATATGAACTGGAGACCTATTGGAGATGATAGATCATGACTTCGTGGTTTGCAGAATCGCCTTTTCGTGCGTCGTCAGTACTTCCGGTCGTTACGAATTGCAAACTTTAAAAAATCGTATTTTCTAACTTTTTTGTTTTTCAGTATTTTTCATTTATATTTGGTATGGTAATAGAAGCCCTCCGTATAATGCTTACTATATAATTTATTTGATTGTTTATAAATCTAAAGTCTAGATATTAGCATTCAAAAATCTGAAGCGGGTCCAAAATGGCGGCTGTCTCTGTCAACGCCGACATTTCGCAATAGTGGTTTACGGAGGCAACCGAGCGTTTGCTTTAACGAAAGTAATATAAGAATAAATGCAATGTAAAGGAATACTTGGATTGTCACGTCGTAGTTTCGTTGCAGTTCTGTGTCAAACTAATGTCTTCTATAATTGGTTTTGGCTGGTTTTAAAAGTAGAAAACAAAAGACGATTTAGCAAAATGTGCAAATGAAATTCGATAACTTATACCTTTTGTACATCACGTAAAAACAGATCTTAAATCATAGTTATAAGTAATACTTTCTCAAAAAAGAATATCAATTAATATTGTCAGTATAAATCGTAACCACTGTTTTTCCTATGCACACTTGTGTCATATTAAACTAATAAATAAGACAAAATAAGAAAACGATTTTTTTTAAAGATCGCTTCATGGAGTTTATTTTAGCATTCTTGTCTCAAAGACCAGATTCAAGTTATTGAACATAAATGATATCTGATTCCTTGACCATCGAAGAGCGAGCCATGTTTTCGCGTGAAAAGTTTCAACCTTTTTCGATTAACTAATCGGGATAGTTCAGTTTGGGGATAAACAGGAAATTGAAAAAAAAAATCATAACCGTTTCACCGCTTTAGTGTTACATGCATTTATACAATATGGAATTTTTAAAACGTGTTTAACATACTTTCAAATCTAGAATCTTAGGCTATACATGTAAGAACGTTCTTTTTTTAATTTATCTATTTAATAGAACATTCCATAGAAAAGCGCGAAGATTAACTCCTGGCGTTTGGCGATAAATTTTGGATAGTGACCTGCCTTTCATAATTTTTAGAGAGAAGCATATTAGTTAATATATACAAGTAGATTTAGAGTAGAGGCCGCGCTAGCGTAATATTTAGTGCGTTGGAATTTCATGCTAGCGACTTGGGTTCAATCCCCCTTGTGTGCAAATCTTTTTTTTTACTTTTTCAGCTCGATTTTACGTCTTCTTTCCGGAATCGGACGGAAGACCTCTCGTTGCTCGCAACGAGTTTCTCATCTAGTTATTATTATTATTCTTTTTTTTGACAAAATTTTGTGCAGGCGATTTCTCGAAAACTATTCAGCGGTTTTTCATGAAACTTTCACCAAATATGTGTCATTATATGAAGTTGTTACATCCGAAGAGAAATTTGGAAAATTCTCTTCTGGTGCCAAGTTATGGACAATTTTCTGATTTTAAAATGCGATTTTGTCGCCCCTTTTTTTCGAAAATGGCTAGGTATATGATATGGAGACTTATTGGAGATGATAGATCATGACTTTCTGGTTTGCAGAATCACCTTTTCGTGCGTCGTCAGTACTTCCGGTCGTTACGAGATGCAAATTAAAAATAATCGTATTTTCTAACTTTTTTGTTTTTCAATATTTTTCATTTATTTTTGGTATGTTAATAGAAACCCTCCTCATAATGCTTACTACATAATTTGTTTGAATGTTGATAAATCTAAACTCTAGATATTAGCATTCAAAAATCTGAAGCGGGTCCAAAATGGCGGCTGTCTCAATCAACGCCGACATTTCGCAATAGGGGTTTACGGAGGCAGCCGAGCGTTTGCTTGAACGAAAGTAACATAAGAATAAATGAAATATAAAGGAGTACTTGGACTGTCACGTCGTAGTTTCGTTGCAGTTCTGTGTCAAACTAACGTCTTCTATAATTGGTTTTGGCTGGCTTTCAAAGTAGAAAAAGAAAAGACTAAATGTGCAAATGAAATTCGATACCTAATATCTTTTGTGCATCACGGAAAAACAGATCTTAAATCATACTTATACGTAATACTTTCTCAAAAAAGAATATCAATTAATAGTGTCAGTATATATCTTAACCATTGTTTTTCCTATACACATTTGTGTCATAATAAACTAATAAATAATACAAAAATAAGAAAACGATTTTTTTTAAAGATCACTTCATGGAGTTTATTTGAGCATTCTTGTCTCAAAGACCTGATTCAAGTTATTGAGCATAAATGATATCTGATTCCTTGACCGTCGTAGGGCGAGCCATGATCTTCGGCGAAACTTTTCAACTTTCTTCGATTAACTAATCGGGATAGTTCACTTTGGGGATAAACAGGAAATTGAAAAAAAATCATAACCGTTTTACTGCTTAAGTGTTACATGCATATATACAATATGAAATTTGTAAAATGTTTTAAATATACTTTCTAAATCTCGAATCTTATGCTATAAGAACGTCTTTTTTTAATTTCATTGAAGCTATCACACCTATTTAATAGAAAATTCCAAAGAAAAGGCGCAAGATTAACTCGTGGCGTTTGGCGCTAAATTTTGAATAGTGACCCGCCTTTCATAATTTTAAGAGAGAAGCACTGTTTCCTTAATATATTCAAGTAGATTTAGAGTAAAGGTCCCGATAGCGTAATATTTAGTGCTTTGGAATTTCCTGCTGGCGACTTGGGTTCAATCCCCCTTGTGTGCAAATCTCTTTCTTTTTTTTTTTTTTTTTTTACTTTTTTTAGCTCGATTTTACGTTTTCTTTCCAGAATCGGACGGAAGACCTCTCGTTGCTCGCAACGAGTTTCATATCTAGTTATTATTCTTATTATTATTATTATTCTTTTTTTTGACAAAATTTTGTGCAGGCGATTTCTCGAAAACTATTCAGCAGTTTTTCATGAAACTTTCACAAAATAT